TTTGTTTTCTTATGTTGATTTGTTTTTTGTTTTGGAACCACCGGTTGATGCTGATGGTTTGCATGTGCCACATGAAGCTAACGGGTGGGATTTATTTTCATTTGTTAAAGGTTCAGGCGTTGAGGTTTTTGTGCGTTCATCTTTGTGTGGGCTGTTTGATGTGGCGGAACATGAGAGATGTTTTTCCTTGGTACGATGTTACGATGAGGGGGTGGAAAGAAAGTTGGCGGGCGTGTACCTTCCCCCCAAGGAGGGGAAGAGGTTGTTTTGTGGGGAGTTGGAGAAGCTGGTGGGGTGTGATGTGCTGTTGGGCGATTGGAATGCCCGCGATGCATATTGGGATCCTGCTGGGAGCAACTACAGGGGGGAATGGTTGAGGAAGTGGATGACTGACAATCAGTATAACATGACCTTCCCCCGCGAGCCCACATTCAGGAATTTGTCTAGGATCGATTTGTGCCTGCACTACGCCAACTCGATCCGTCACCGATATAGCGATGCCGTGGGATGCGAACACATGGCACAGATAATCAAGCTGGACGTGACGGCGCCATCGGATGAAACCCGGACACGACCAGCTTGGAAAAAGGTTTGTTGGGACAAGGTGGAGACAGAGTTGGACCTGCTGTGCGAGGCTCATGATAGCACCCTGTGGGAGAAGACACGTGGGATTGTTGATGGGCTACCAAGACCACCGAGTAGCCGGGTCCCTTGCAAGTGGTGGACCCCTGAGCTGGAACGGATGCGGCGGGATGTTCAAAGGCTGCGGAGATACGGCAAGAAAGATCCATCTTACTCCACTGACTATAGGCTTGCCAGATGCGTCTATAGGGCGTCGGTGGTCCGGGCTCGCTTCGAATACGTCCGGGAACAATTGAGTCAGGTTGAGGACCCTGGGGTGTTCAGGCTTGTGCAGCGATTGGATGTTAGGAGAACACTGCCTACCATGGTCCGGGACAATGGAGATGTGGCTGCTACTTACGAAGACATTGCGGATGCCATTGCCGCACAACTGGAACCTGGAGTGCCGAACCTGTGGGTACCGCCGGTTATCCACATAGGAACAGAGCAGGAAATGGAGCTGGTAGTGGCACGATCACCGACCAATACTGTACCAGGCCCCGACGACATGGGATACCCCTTCCTGAGATTCTGGATGAGGAAACAGCCTAACAGTATGTGACGTTTGTTGGACTACAGGTTGAAACATGACATTCCGGACTGGCATGAGGCGGAGGTGGTGTTGATCCCTAAAGTCGGTAAGCCTAGGTATGATGTGGTCAAGGCAGGGAGGATGATACACCTTCTACCAGTGTTGGCAAAGGTGGCGGAACGAGTTATCCTCATCAGGTTGGCGCAGTGTCTGGAGCTGGGGGAAACCCAATTTGGATCGCGCCGCAAGAGGGGGGTGCATGACGGCATGGCGGTGGTGTTCGAGTTCCTGAAACACAACGAAGGATATCACCGGATGATGCTGTCGGTAGATATCGAAGGAGGGTTCGACAATATCAATGTTGACTTGCTCTCGGACTTCTTAATGGCCACGGGATGTACTCCAACACTGTGCTACTGGATACGCCGATGGTGTACTAACAGGACAGTCCGGTTTCGATTTAACGGGCGAGTATCCAAGAACTACCACACCAGCAAGGGAATTCCCCAGGGATCGCCCCTTTCGCCATTCCTGTTTGGCGCATACGTTGCCGATATTTTCACACCCAGGATGCGATACTCACCAGGTGTGAGGCATGTGGTGGTGTCATATGTGGATGACGGGGTGGTACTTGTGGCTGCGACAAGTCAGGCGGCAGCCAAAGGGCATGCTAATGAACTGTTCTCAGACCTCGACAGGGTGGCAAAGGCTAGGGGGATGGGATTCAGTGCCCTAAAGACCCAGTGGATTGGGTTTGGGGACCGGGCGTGGGATGGGATGGAATTGAAAGGGGAGCTGGTTGAGCCATCTGATGACCTCTGGGTACTCGGGTATAGGTTTAATGTGTTCCTTAATTTCACTGCCCACATTAAGTATTGGCTGGAAAGGGGGTTGGAGGTGCGAAGGAGGATTGGGGCTTTGGGGCGGAGGTATGGTGGTGTGGGTGGCATCGGAGCATGGGAGACTTACCGTTTGGTACAAGCAGCTTACCTCCCGACAGTCTACTACGGGCTTGAGTTTGTGACCGACTATGCGTCGTATGTGAAACAGATTCAGGTCCATGTTAACCAGTGCCTCAGATCGGTTTTCCGTACCCCGTTCAAGTTGGCTAACAACATCCTGCTGGCGGAGTTTGGTGTGCCACCAGTTCACATCCAGGGACGCTACCTACAACGCCGCTGCTACAGCCGGTTCATCAACCCGAAATATTGTGACGACCATCTTTGGTTTGGGCACATCAGATTGGACTGGAAGGTGGAGGGCATGGTGGCTCAGCGACAAACGTCGGATGTTGAACTTCGGGCCCGACCTTCTGTTACAATTGGGAAGGGCAAGGAAGTGGTCACTACCCGGCACAATGCGAAGATCCGTGGACTACTGGGTTCACCTGATCTGGTGGTGTACACTGACAGATCCAAACATTCTAGGAAAGCGGGGGCAGCATGGGCTGTGTACCATCAAGGTGCTGTTCGGGTAATGGGACAGGCGGTACCTCCCTCCTGGAGCATTGTGGAGTGTAAGCTGTATTCGGTTGTGGGGGCATTGCGGTATTTGAAGAACGTCCACCCCCGGCAGAACGCCCACATATTTCTTGACTGTGTGCCCGCGCTGATGCTGATAGAGGGGATGTTTCCCCATGGCGACTCGGCGGAGATGTGGGAGGTATTTGCTCCACTGCTGAATGAGTGCAGGGGAATCACCTGCGAGTGGGTACCCGGGCATACTGGGGTGGTTGGGAACGAGGTTGTCGACCTTCAGGCCAAGAAGAGCGTGCACCTGGATCTGCGACCGGCGGACTGGGAGGGGGTCAGTTTCGGCCTCGGACATGCGGCACTGGCGCGTGAGTTACGACGTGAAGAATGGGCGGCCTGGCATTCGGGACAGGGACACGAATACTACAGACGCGAGCCGGCTGCGCCACGACACCTCAGGGGCCTCACCAGATTGGATGCCTATGTTTTGATTAGGATCCGCAGTGGTACCGGCCTGGTCGGACATGACGAGTGCCCGGGGAAGGACAACCGGGACCACTGGACTACGACCATTCGGTATATACGCGATCGGCCCCCCGCGAATACGTTGTTTAAGGACAGCAAGGTGGAGGGTTGGAAGAGATGGTGGAGGGTTGGAAGAGATGGTGGAGGGTTGGAAGAGATGGTGGAGGGAGCACCGGTGGTTGGGCCTGGGCATCCCGAAGAATGTGGTAGAAGTTGACGGGGAGATGGTGGTGGCCGGGAACCCGTTTGATGGAACTTTACTGGTGGAGCGGAATGGGCAGCTAACCGTCAGGAAGGGTGGTTGGAGGTGTGTCAGATGTACAACGGCACGTGAGCATGGATATTCTCGGCTCCCCAGTGCACGAATCGGGAGCAACAAATGGTTTTTCATCCCCGAGGACGCGAAGATATGCGAGGGTTGCGGCAACATCATCACCACCGCCGCCAGATTGCGGACACGCACGGAGGCATTCGGCCGACACTTCGGTTCGTCGCAGTTTTGCTTTGACCGGTGTTTGGACCTGCATTGGGCACGAGTGTATGATGGGTGGGATGGTTTGGCTTTTGAGAAACAGGTGGCACAGGTGTTGGCGTGGGCCAGGAGTTATGAGTTTGTTAAAGGACCACAATGTTTTCCTTGTGATGGCACGTTTGTTGATATTGCGGGTCATTGGAGGAATACTGAACGTTGTTGGGACAGATTGCATATTTCGTTTGTTGAGTATGTGGAAGATGAAATTGCTGATTGTAGTGTGAGTGATGGATAGGAATTGCGGGACAGGAAGACGCGTTAATCCGGGGTGTCGCTTGCGGCACGAGCGCCCGTGAGCCTGTTGGTAGTGATTTTTGGATTTATGTTTGGGTGGAGGGTTGCGGGATGTTTTGACACGGTAGTGATTTTGTTATGATTTATGGGTTACGAGGGATGTTAGCTAGATCATAAGCCATGTTTTGGCGCGACTAGGATAAATAAACTTAGATATAATTCGGACACCCTTTCTTACGTGTCTGAACCACCGGATCCCTCCTCGTCCTTGACTTTATCTCGTGATAACTTCAAGCCTTGTTCGCGGAGGAAACTTTACCTTCGCTTACAGTTATTAACCTCGAAGGGCTTTGTTCCTTCGTTCGTGTTGCTTCTAGGTTCTTCGTTTCCGTCGTTCGTCGTCTACGGTCGGTCGCTACGATGTCTAAGCGAGGTTCTTCCCTTTCGGTGGGCAAGGTCGCTGCGGCCTTGTCTTTCCTTTCGGCGTCGGTGGATGAGGCTTCCCTTCTTCGGAAGGAGGTCTCCCGCCTTCGCCATCACGTATCGGTTCTCTCCCGCCGTCTCCATTGGTCGGAGCTGGAGTGTGCGGCCCTGGCGGCGGCCGGGCGTCCGCCCTCCCCTTCGTTCGGCGGGATTGACGAGGACCTGCCACCTCCCTGCGGGGTTGTGGCTGCGGAAGAGGAGGTGGGGTGGTGTGGCTACCCACGGTGGCGTCTTTTGAATGAGTGGTGGAACGGCGGTCGCAACGGCGCTGGCAACAGCTCCGGCAACGGCGAACGAACAGGGATCGTGGCAATGGGCCAATCGGAAGCCAGCCGAGTGACGTGCTATGAAACGAAACAATTGCCAAGCTTAAGCACGCAAAAGGATCGCTCAAGGCAAAGAAAACTTTTCACTTTTACTCTCTCTCCCGCTCTCCTAACTATCGCATCGCATGCACATACTAACTAATGGCGAACATAGGAGAATATATCAACTGAGGGCAACGCCCAATAAACCACAATCTCTTCTCACCCCCCCCCCCTCAGGTAAGTCCTCCACTTCCCTTTCTCTAGCAAACACGAACTAACAAAGGGAAGAAAAAAGACAAACTCACGCCTCCCCATCCCACCAGGTAAGCCCCCATATCCTCGCAGCAAAACAAGAGAAGCTAACAAAGAAAAGACATAACTTGCGCTTCCGCCGTGCACCATTCTGCGGTGCTCTTCCGCCGCACCTTTCATGCGCTCTCCTGCAGTCCTCCACCGTGCTCTTCCGGCACTCTTCCTGCGGTCCTCCGCCGCGCTCCTTCTCTGTGCGCTCTCCCGCTGAGAGCATTTCCATCATGCTCCTGCACTATACCACTGTGCACCCTCCAGCACTTCACCGCCATTCTCTCTGGGTTCGGCCGAGCGCTCTCTCCCACGCTCTGCCGTGCGCTTTCTCTCCCGCGCTCCGCCGTGCACTTCTGAAGCGCTCTTCCGAAAAACTAACAAACAAGCAAACAAGCAAACCAAAGGGAAGGAAGGGGAATGGGGGATAGGAGGAAATGGGGAATGGGGAGAAGGGGGAAGGTACCAGGCAGGTGTGGGGAGCAGCTTGGATTTCCAACAGCGTCCTTTCCTTCCGGGATACAGGCGCCTGGGCCATTCGTGGCTGAGCCCGGGGTGGTGGCTGACCCTGTCGCGGGTGTGGCGTCTGGGGTACCTGGTGTACCTTGGTTCGCGGATTTGTTCGTCGGTTCTTCCCCTCCCCCAGCCCTGCCGGGCGGTCCCCCCTTCGAGGAGTCCCCAGAGGGCTCGGTTGCGTCGGTGGATTCGATCGTTACGGCAGTGATGGAGACTGCGTATGGTCCGGAGCTTCCCCCCAGCTTCTGTTGGACGGGGCATCGGGCCTTGTCGGTGCCGCGTGTGGTGCGGTGAGCGTTGAGCTCCCCTCCGGATGGTCGGGGTGATGTTGTGGGGACTTCGGTCTCTATGGCGGACTTCCTGGCGTTGAGGGTACCAGGGCAGCAGGCTAGGAAGCGGGCACTGGTGGAGGAGACGGTAGTGCAGGAGGATGAGGAACTGGTGCCGGCGTGTCCTGGTAACAACTCTGGCGGTAAGAGGTGTCGGCGTCGACAGTGGGCGCAGAGGGACCGGGGTCTGTGAGGCCTTGGTGTGGGGTGTTTTACTGTGGCGCATGTCAAGGCTGCGGGGAGGGTCACACGGGGCGATCCTGTGTTTTCCAAGAGAGGAATTGACTCCGCATGCTGCCCTGATAACTAACCGACCGGGACGCTACCCACTTCGAATGTGGGCCCCCTGATGTCTGGGTAAGCAGCTTGGGTTGTGTGTCTTGCTAGCGCTCGGATAGGTCACCTCTCGGCTCTGTGCGGGCTGGTGCGGCCCTGGTTAGGGGGCCCGATGCTCCGGAGTTTGGTTAGTCGTTCAACAGTCACAAGGTGAGAACGGCAAGGCACCGTCGGCCATGGGTAATGTGATGCAGCCCATACCCTGCGGCATAGCGAAGGGGGGTCATTCCCCTGAGGCTGGGTCATCGACACATTGCATTAGGGCTTTGGTTCTATGTGTGTCTTTGGGCATGACAGGACGGATGCGCGTGCCGGTCCCGGTTTACCTATGACATGCCATACACTGGTGGTCTTGTTATCCCAGCTCTGGATTCCGCTGTGGTAGGAGTGAGTGTTCGCACTTATTTCAACTACGGTGGGTGAGGGTGTGTATGAAACGCGTTATCTGGTTCATCCAGAAGGGGCTCAAGGAGCAAAGACAATGATGGTTCTGGACACCCGCTGTTGCTCGGGGCCAATGGGAGGTATACCCCCCCTAGGTGGCATTGACCGTTACAGTGTCTAGGAAAGATCCTTAGTCTACCCACTGGCCTCGCTGGCGCGTCCAAAGGTTCCACAGAGGGCTAGCCACTCGAGGTTTAAAATCAATCCCGAATCACAGTCGTCCATTGTTGCTGGGAGGGAAGGAGGCGAAGCCGGTCGGTAGTATTAAGTGTGGTTCACGGGAGAGATACCCCTTATCGGGTGGCATGTTATCTTACGACCCTGTCCTTGACCAAGAGGGATGCTAACAAGGTGAGTCTCCGAAGTTGTCCCTGGTGTTATCGCAATGCGGCCGGATATGATAAGAGACGGCGGGTGGGATGTTGACCCTCCAGGGACTCCTGTGTCTGGGGACTGTGTGCATGAAGTTCGATTCTGCACCGAGGATGGACTAGGATAGCAGTTTAACCTCTGAGGGGGGCCCGAAAGGGCCCGGAGCCGCCTGAGCTCATGATTTCAAAGAATGGCATGATGTACCAGTTTAGCTGGGAGATCTCCTCAATTGTGGATTTACTTTGTTGGGATTACGGGACGGTTTTCAGACCGGATTTGATATTTTTGATTTGTTTTTATTTTTTGTGACAGTCGCGCGCCGTAACTACCTTCCCCTCGCTTGTTGTAGCCAAGGACTTCGGTCGCTCTGTCCATGTCGGGTTGGGTGTCGGTTTGTCGGTTGGGGCGGGTGTGATCGGGGCTGTTGATGGACTTGTACCTAGCTTTCGTGTTGGCTCCCTCGCGGAGGTGTTATTGGTTTGAGTTTGGAGGTGTCTGGTCTTGTTTATAGTTGTTGGCTGCGCTGGTGTATTGTGGGGACCCCGGCCCCAGGCAGTTGCTTTCGGGCGCTGTTCTGGTCCGCTTGTGGTCCGCCGGAGGATCGCCTGCCCTTATGGTAGGTGTACGATAGGATGATCGCTCGACCATAAGCCATGATTTGGCGCGGCGAGTATAAATAAGATTAGATATAATTCGGACACCCTTTCTTACGTTCCAGGGAATTATCTTATCCACCACGATACCTTTCTTTGGCCCGACCGGGGTCAAAGTTTCTCCTCATCACCTCCATGATCATGGGTTCATCACCCCCTATCGTTCCGCAACCTCCTACGCAGCCTGACGGGGCTTCGCAGGGTCGGCTATCACCTATCTTTCGGCCTCAGGGCCCCCCCTCGCTTAAACGCCCATGCAGTGTCACCACCACCTCTCTACCACGATACTCAAAGGATGACTTTGATAAGCCTAACGGGGCCTTCATAAGCATGTTTGATGAGTTTTTTGAGCAACAGGGACACGCGGGACCAAACTCGTTTGCGAAAGCGTTCCCTATCATGATCCACATGATGCAAATTCTGCATGAAGACTACAGGAAGGCGACCGATGGGCTAACCCAGCACATCACCGCCCTTACTGAGGAACTGGACGAGCTCCGCGCCTCCATCCCCTCTCAGCCTGCTCCTACTACTGCCCCGCCGGCACCTCCTACTACCGACACCACAGAGCGGCCCTCTGTCCCTCCTCTACCTCCTACCCTTCCTCATGCCCAACCTGCTGGCTCGGCAGCTCCTCCGTCTTGGGCTACCGTCGCCAGGAGGGCAAGGAAGCCCTCTCAGAAACCCACAAAGCCTGGCCCCAAGCCAGCCAAATCCTCCTCTGCCTCGGCTAAGCCCCTTGCCGACAAAAGAAAGGGCCTCACTATGCGCGAGGGTCGGCTCATCATCAAACGCGACGCTACCCCCCTCAACGTTACTGCTATACAGCTACGCGACAGCATCAATCAGGCCTTGGCCTCTACTCTTATCCAGTCTGTTTCCTTCTGGGATGGACATGTTACCCTTACCACTATGGACACGATCAGAGCCACAACTGTGAACAGCAAAGTTGGCACCTTCTTGCACCTCATTCCCGGTGCCTCCACCGTCCACCTCGATACCCCTGCCACCTAGCTCCTGGTACATGGCATTGCTACCTCCACTCCTCTGGCATCACTTGCCCAAGAACTGACTACCTTTAACTTAGGCTTATCCCTTACCGAACAGCCTAGGTGGCTTATCTCTGGTATAGCACGTATCGGCAAACTCGCCTCAACCGTTGTTATTTCCATCACTGGACCCAAGGCTCCTTCTTTTGTTGGCAAACGCCTCTCCGCCTTCTCCAATACCTACCGAACTGCACACCGTCTACGCTTCAATAAATACACCCAGTGTGCCAACTGTCATAAGTTTGGCCACCACAGCATCAAATGCATCCTGCCTCCTTCCTGCCGCTGGTGCCTCCTCCCTCACTCTACTGGGGATCACTCCTGCCCCACTGCCACTTGTCGCCTTCGCGGCCGTCCCTGCAGCCATACTACACCCAGGTGTGTGAACTGTGATGGCCCGCATGAATCCCACTCGCCTGTTTGCCCTTCTCGCCCCCGTCCAGATACCCAAGAATCTGAGGTTTCGGAGGAACATGAAGAAGAGGTGGATATGGATGACTCTACATAGGTTGGGATACCTATGATAAGAATATATGATGATGATATGACAATTTTTGGTGCGAGACGGGAGTTATACTGCCCGTGGTAGTGATTTTTTGATTGTGCTGAGATTCCCGTGGCCTGGCTAGGTGGGACGGGTGGGTGCCCGACTGTTGATGAACTTGTACTTAGCCTTTGTGTGTTGCTTGCTTGCGGAGGGGTTGGCTTGTGGAGGTGCTCTGGTATTTCTAATAGGTCAGGAAGGTTTGGGTTCAGAGGTTATGGTATCTTGTATTTAGTTGCCTGTATTTGCGGGGGTAGCAGGGCCCCAGTCCCATCGGTGGATCCCGACCGGCGTTAAGCTCCTGTCGGGGGGCCGCTCGTTCGTAAGCCATGATTTGGCGGTAGCGAGTAAAAATAAGAACTTAGATTGAATTCGGACACCCTTTCTTTCGTTCCCGCATGGCGAGGATGAAGCCTTTCTTCTAATACTTGTGGGGGAGTCATCTGGGTTCGCCCGGTAGTCCTGCTGGTTGAAGTTGAGTTGGTCGAGTTGTTGTCTGGTGTTCGTTTGGCTGTGGTACTCATCTCGCCACCCCTCTGCTCGTCTCTATCGTGAGGCTGGGTGGGCTGGGGGGTCCTCTTTCTTGCTAGATGAGTCTTCTCTTCGGTAAAATATTTCGGCTTTCCTGTACTCATTTCCTCACGGGATTTTCGCGTTCATTGAGTTGGTTGGGAGTGGTTGTTGTGGGGGGATCACCCTGTCGCTGAGAGGATCGGGCGCCTCCGTACTTCGTGTTGGAGTTCTAAGGCCCACCCTTTGGTTGTTTCACTTGTTGTTTCCAGTGACACTAACGCCTAGAGAGTTGATTGATGACCTCTCTGTACCTTTAACTCCTTGTACCGATCGCATCACACTTTTACGGTCGGGTCCTACCTGTTATGTTATGGGTTGGGTTACCTGATTGTCGGCTAGATTCCTCGGTCGGAATCCTACGATGTTGTTTCCTCCCGTTCCCACGATGTTTTCCATTCGTGTAGCTGCTACGGGTGGTTGTGGGGTCTACTTCCTTGCCTGATGTGGGTGGGGATGCCTTTGACCCTGGTGGTTATGCCCCCTCTCTCGACTTCTACGGTTGGGATTGTAGTGGTGGTGGGCGATTGGCTGCTGGGTCTCCTCGCGTGAGGACCTTGGCAATAGCTATGTTGGGCGTTGGCGGTCTTG